CCCTTTTGCATAGCATTGCCCAGCTCTAATTGTAGCCACCCTATAAAGGGAACAGTATGCTTCCTATAGAAACACAGGACTTGCTCAATCACAGAAAGGCAACAAGTGTGGCCACTGATCTGCTGCTGGGAGGACGGGTTTCACTGGAGCAATCTGGCCTGAGCCCCTTTCCAGTTTGTGGGAGGGAATGTTGAGCTTTCTCTGTCTCAGTTTCCTTTCTGATTTAACCCTCTGCTAGGCAGAGGGCAATTTTAGCTCTTGAGGATCCTATTCTCTGTCTTCCAAAGGGACAGTCAGCTACTGGGCAAACTGCTCCATTAACTCACCAGACACATGGGAGAAAACACAACAAAAACCCTCTTTCTCTGTTTAAAGAAAAAAATCTTAACTCTAAATGTCTACTGCCATTTTTTTTCTTGCCTTTAGAGGCCTGCTTTTACTAACTAGGGAGAGACCCACCCTGTAGAGGTTTTTGTCCCAATTTGTTTCTTCCTGCCCTTAGCACAGGGCTGTAAGCTAAGAACCATCTTTATTCAGTCCTCCCCCTCCTTCCAAGAGCACCCTTCTAGGGAGAGTGGACTGGCAGAATTTTCTGAGGTGGGGCATCCCAGCACAGGTGATTTTGTGAGCAGATCTGAAAACAGCTTTGTGGAATTGTGCACAGGTGGATGGTACATCAGTCAGGATGGACACAGAGGGAGCCAGGAGGTGCCTCCCTCTCAGCATGTGGCCAGGCCAACAAATGCTTACTGAGAGCTCCAAGGGCCATTGCGTTTACATCCTCTAAGCCAAAGAACCACTAGAAACCATGAGCCAGGGAGCCTTTCTCCCTGCACTCTTAAAATTTCTCCATTCAGACTCTTGGGATAAAAGTAAAAGGCAAGCCTGGAGGTCATTAGTGACAACTGAGTGCCCCAAACTCCCATCTCCTGCCCCTTTCTTTCAAGAAAATTCCCATATATCCCTATGGGGCAGATGGGCATGCAAACTTGGTCACAGCTTTCTGGAGACTCTAGGCATGCGGTTACTTGGCAGGGTGTCATGGGAGGGGACCTTTTCCTGGTCTAGAGACAACCGCCCATGCCCCAGAGTCTGGTGAGTGGTGGGCTATACTGTCAGGTGCCTCTGTGCCCTGCCAAAGGGGCATGCCCTATGTTCCCTGGCACTGCCCACCCTGCTCCCTGTAACCACCCCTCCTTCTAACTCAAAAATGAACACATTCAATTTGGAATCTGGCTTTAACAGCATCCCAACCTCCTAAAAGAAAAAGCCTTCTGTGAGCCTTATGTGTTTGACACATGGTGCAGGCATCATTACTGGATACACCAGAGGAGACTCTAGGGCTCCGGTCCAATTCCCAGGGGGAAAAAAAAGCAAGTGGGGTATCTGGCTTCTAGTTAATGCACAGATAGAGTGCAGATGAGCCCAGATGGTGGCAAGGGGAGCCAGGACCCAAATTCAAGGCCAAGTTGCACCTCCTGGTGAAGCAGAGCATGTGCTGTCTCTTTAAGGACCACCAGGTCTTTTTGCCCAGGGATGTAGGTGGAAGCTCACACCCAGTCTTTCTCTTCTTCTTTTCTCCTGATGGGAACCAGCACATCAACTATGCCACTGTGTTCACCCATGGAGTGCCTCCTGCAACAGTGGAAAGAATTAGACTCCCCCTTCAGATGTCTTAATAAGTTCACAGGATGGGAAGAAGTGAACAAAGTAAGTCCCTAAATCCTCTGAAAAAGGTTTGCTAGGACGTAGATCTGAGGTGAGAGAACCCCTCACCAGGCCCATTCCAAGGTAGTCGCTGGGAGTTAGCTTGGGAACCATCGGCTTGACGACCTCCCTCAGATTCCCAGCTACTGCTCTAAGCAAGAGCCTATCAGCAACTCTGCCTGTCTCTCTAGGAGGTCAGGGTAAGGCAGCTTCCAAAACCTTCTGCCACTGGTTGATTTCTTCATAATAGTCATCCTTTCTAGAGTGAGATGGAATCTCCATGTTGTTATAATTTGCATCTCTAGTAACCAGTGATGCTGAACAATTTTTCATATATTTATCTACATTTGTATTTCTTTATTTGAGACTGTGCATTCATTGTAGGTGCCCGTATTTGGATTGGGCCTTTAAATTTGGGCAGCGTCTACTTTAGAGAATACAAACTAGTAGAAAACAAAAAGCTATAAGAAACAAGATAAAATTTCACTACACACACAAAAAAAAATAGGAATTCAACAATGGCTGTTGTATTCCACAATGTTGTCTTCAAATTATTTGTTTAGGTTATCAGATATAAACATGCAAATTTGGTTTCAAAAAGTTATAAGAAATTAAAAAGGAGTAGAAAAAATTAAGCATTCATTAACTGTTCCTTTCAGTGGACCGGCAGAAATCCGCAGCGCAGTTATCCAAGCTATCCTGTATATATACTTTAATATATATTTTTCACTTTCTTCCTTTTGTCTGTTTCCTCATCCCAGTTTTTCCTTCAGTTTGAGCACATTCTTTCCCTTTCATAGAATCTCTTGTATGTACCTTTCAGATTTTATTTTCTCTTTCAGCTTCTTACACTAGTGAGACAATGCAATGTTTGTACATGTGGGTCTGACTTATTTTTCTCAAGATTATGGTCACTAGTTGCATCCATTTACCTGTGCAAGCCTTGGGTTTATTTTTTATATAACTGAGTAACACTTCATTATGTAAAAATATCACTTTTTATCTATTCCTTAGTTGATGGAAATTTGGATTGCTTCCAAAATTTAGCTATGACAAATTGTGCTGGTATAAACACAATTGCACATATATCCCTTTGGTATGATGTTTTTAGTTCGTTTGGAAAATGCACAGGAAGTGAATAGCTGAGTTGAATGGGATTTTAAATACTAGTTTTTTTGTGAAATCTCCATACTGTTTTGCACAGTAGTTGTGTTTTTGTTTTGTTTTGTTTTGTTTTGTTTTGTTTTTTCTCACAACCTGCCACCATTTTTTAAAAATGTATTTGGTTGTCACAGGGTCTCACTATGCAGCTCACCCTCATAGTGATCCCCCTGTTTTCAGCCTCCCCAGTGCTGGAATTACAGACACGCGCTACTACGCCCAGACTCTGTGGCCCACTCAGCCTCCCCAGTGGGCAGGGCTGGCATAGCGGGTGGTGCTGGGGATTGAATCATGATCGATCCCTGCGAGTCCCTAAGCAGACATTTTAGTCTGTTGAGCTACCTTGTCATCCCTGTCAGCATTTGTTATTGGTTGACTTCTTGATGATAGCCATTCTTTCAGGGGTGAGATACAATCTCAGTGTTGTTTTAATTTGCATTTTTTAAATGACCAATGATGTGGAACATGGTTTCATATGTTTGTCATTTATATATTTTTTTAATGTATTTAGTACAGGGTCTACAGGGTCTCACTACTTAGATCGAACTCGTAGGGATCCACCTGATTTCAGCTCCCAAGCGCTGGGATTACGAGTGCACCCCACCAGGTCCACTCTCAATCACCATCACAGCACGCCCCAGGGGGCAGAGCCAGCATGGCTTGTGGTGCTGGGGATCACAGCCCCAGCCCCTGCGCTCTGCCCAAGCGGACACTTTAGTCTGCTGAGCTATCTGGCCAACACCCAGTCATTTTATTTCCTCATCTGTGAAGTACATATTCATGTCTAATGCCCAGTTTTGGATTGGGTCTTTGAACTTTGGAGGCCTGATTTCTAAAACTTTTTTATATTTCTAGATGGAAGTCCTTTCTCTGAGGGACAGTTGGATAAAATTTTTTCCCACTTCATGGTTTTCATTTTACTTTTGATGATTATTTTTTATTATTATTAATTTTATTGAGAAACAAATAGCAATGAGACAGTTTCAAAGCTGGCTAGTGGGACAGTTACAATAATTAATACATAGCATATTGTTGTCTTCATATTAGTTATTCATTGTACAAGATGCAGAGGTAATAACCTGTCCAAACACAATTCGTGCAAATCTTTCTTCTCACTGAATTAAGAGAAAGTAGCTGTATATCTATCCTATTTTGAACATACAGATACAAAATGGTCCTTCATTTATATCCCTTATTTTTGTTTAGTTTTGTCAGAGATGGGTATTCTATTGTCATTTAAATATTGTAGGTGCATGAATTCAGCAAAAAAAAAAATTCTATATAGTGCAGGAGTCCATAGTAGTAGTGGGTTATCTGTAGGACGGGCAATGCCAGAAGTTGTTGACTTGAGCCTTTTACAGCTCAACATATTAATATGGCTTCACTCTTTATGCCTCATTCTTATACTTTTTTTCTGGATGGTTAAGACCAAGATAAACCAATACCTATATAACAAGAAATGTAACTTTTGTATCTGCCAAGATCAGTCAAATTCACTCAGGATTTAGCCTAAAACCCTGTACCGCAGTTTGTAAATCCTTTGTCAGTGTCAGCCATGTGGATGAGTCACAGCCATTGCTTGACCAATTTGTTCTCTGTGAAAGCCCAAGGGAATGTTTTCTCTCCATGTGGCTCTCCTTAAGAACATTATACATCATTGATCACTTTCCTCTGTGGCCTCAGAATCTCCTTGATCAGAAAATTTGGGACACCACTAAGTTGCAAGATGTTACAGTACAGACTCTCTTATGTCCTGAGTCCTCACTGACCTTGAATGGCTATGGCTAAAATGTTGGCTGTCTTTGTAGACCTCCATTTTCTCTAATTTTTGGTCTGCAAACTTAAGTTGTTAATCCTCCAGAAGAGAAGCTTAACTATATTATTACTCTATAACATAGGCAATTGAGCTTAACCTCACTAGCTGTCTGAATATGAAACATCTTAGACATAACATGGAGCAGGTATTTTCCATCAAGTATTGATATGTTAAACTTTCAATCCCTACAGGATATGAAGAAAAATAAATAA